ACTCTGACTGTAGAAGCAGCACCGGGGCCACCTGGCCAGGGCGCTGGCCCCCAGCCGCTGCTTTGTCTCCACTCCTGTCCCCAAGACCCCACTGACCTTCCCCTGTCTGGTGTTTCAGTGTCCATCACAATCTCTGTTCTTTTAATTTCACAAATGCTGGATAACCGATGGTTTAGTGTGCTGCTTCTCTATAGATCTGCCAGGATTTTGACCCAAAAGTACGGGAGCCAGAGTTCGCCCCATCCTACTCTGTCACCATCCTCCTCCAGTCCCAAAAACTAAATAAATAAATGGCTCAAATGGAAGAACAGATCAAAGCCCCAGAGTCAATACATCTAAGTGACCAAGAGATAGCAAACCTATCAGATGCACAGTTCAAAGCACTGGTGATCAGGATGCTCACAGAATTGGTTGATTCTGGTCGCAAATTAGATGAAAAAATGAAGGCTGCACTAAACAAAATGAAGGGAAATGCACAGGGAACCAATAGTGATGGGAAGAAAAATGGGACTCAAATCAATGGAGTGGACAAGAAGGAAGAAAGAAACAACCAAACAGAAAAGAATGAAGAAACAAGAATTCAAAAAAAAAATGAGGAGAGGCTGAGGAAACCCAGGATGTCTTTAAACATTCCAGCATCTGAATTATAGGGGTACCAGAAGGGGAAGAGGAAGAGCAACAAATGGAAAACTTATCTGAACAAATAATAAAGGAGAACTTCCCAGTCTGGCAAAGGAAATAGACTTCCAGGAAGTCCAGGAAGAAGTTGGACTCAAGGAGGAACACACCAAGGCACATCATAATTACATTAGCCAAGATTAAAATGAAGGAGCGAATTCTAGAAGCAGCAAGAGATAAAGGGACAGTCACCTACAAAGGAGTTCCCATCAGACTGTCAGCGGATTTCTCAAAAGAGACCTTACAGGCAAGAAGGGGCTGGAAAGAAGTATTCCAAGTCATGAAAGGCAAGGACTTACATCCAAGATTGTTCTATCCAGCAAAGCTTTCATTTACAATGGAAGAGCAGATAAAGCACTTCCCAGATAAGGTCAAGTTCAAGGAGTTCATCATCACCAAGCTCTTATTATATGAAATGTTAAAGGAACTTAGGCAAGAAAAAAAAGATAAAAATATGAACAGTAAAAAGGAAACTCACAGATATTGACCACACCTAAAACAAATGCAAACTAAGTAAACAACTAGAATGGGAACAGAACCACAGAAATGGAAATCACATGGAAAGTTAGCATCAAGGGAGTGGGAGAAGGAGAAGGGGGAGAATATACTAAGAATGAGTAGCATAGATGGTGGGGAGAAAATAGGGGGAGGGCAAGAGTAGCGTGGGAAATTTAGAAGCTAAAGAACTTATGACACATGGACATGAACTAAAGGGGGGAATGTGGGTGGAAGGGGGTGTGCAGGGTTGAGGGGAATGAAGTGAGGGAAATGGGACAACTGTTAAAGCATACTCAATAAAATATATTGAAAAAAAATAAAATCACACCCTGGCCAGGTGGCTTAGTTGGTTGGAACATTGTCCAGTGCACTCAGAGGTGGTGGGTTAGATTCTTTGTCAGGGTGTGTACATAGCTTGAGAGTTTGATCCCTGGTTGGGGTGCATACAGGAGTCAAAGTTTCTCACATCGATGTCTCTCTCTCTCTCTTCCCTTTCCCCCTCTCTAAAATCAATAAACATATCCTCAGGTGAGGATTAAAATAAAAAACTCTGCTGATATAAATAGCTGTTTATATTAAAAGATAATAATAATAAATAAAATCACAACCTTTAAATTAAACAAATCTTTACCTGTCCAGGTAGCTGGATGTGTGACAAAGCATATCAAAACTTGGGTGGATACTGCAAAATTGCTGGAGTTTTGCTGTATATTTGAAAATTTGTATAATAATGTTTTTGTATGAAACAGTTGACCCCTGCAGCACCTCATATGCCAGGTCCACACTTTGAGGCAATGGGGAGGGGGACTCCTCATTCCACTGTTTTTTTTGCTCACATTTTTTATTGTTGTTCAAGTACAGTTATTTCCATTTTCCCCCCACCACTCCATGAGTTCAGGCTGACTTCCTGATGGGCACCCTGGGCTCACTACATAATTCTCTCTACTTTTGATTATGTTGTAAATTTTTTTTGTTTTAAAAAGTAATGAGACAAAGCAAACAAGAATCTTCCAAAGGCTTCAATCAACACTGAAGTCCTTACACAGATGCAGCTCTGTGTAAGACGTAGCCCCTCTTTCAGTATTGTCCTGGCTCAGGCTTCTTAGATCACAGCCTGATCCACTACCTGCACCTGCCCTGCTCCCCAGGTATCCACAGATTCCCACTGTACTCCACACCAGGATATGACCACTGGAGGAAACAGGTGAAAAGATCACCTTTTTTACATGGTCCCAGCATAGTAAACAGGACCCAGTAAGCATTTTGGTAAATAAATGAATGGATGAATTGAATCAGCATTTCAAGCAGCCTTTATTTCTTTTCTAATATGTACTTTTATTTTTATTTATTTATTTATTTATTTACTTACTTACTTACTTACTTATGTACTTATTTATAGAGGGGAAGGAGAGAGGGAGAGAAACATCAATGTATGGTTGCCTTTTGTGCATCCCCTGCTGGAAACTGGCCTGCAGGGAAGCAGTCTGCAACCCAGGCATGTGCCCTGACTGGGAATCGAACCTTGATCCTTTGATTCACAGGCCTGCCCTCTATCCACTGAGCTACACCAGCCAGGTAATATGTACTTTTACATAAACATACAAAAATTCCCTCTGGCTAAGTCCAAATCTTGAAAATAAAAACTACAAATCAATATTGCAGAAGGTCACAGCCCACTTGCTATACCCTATCACTAGACCTGGCTCCTCTAGGATGCCTCACTTAACTTCACTGTCACTCAATCAGGTTATTTGCAGTAAAAGGACTGCCCAGATGGCAATTCACCCTTCCAAGCCACATGCCTGACCAGAAAGAACTCTGTGTCCTGAGCAATGATAGGCTCCACTTGGGCTTCTAAGATATTGGTGCTAACTTGTAAGGTTGGTCACCATCCACTAGAGACCTGGGTGACCAGTCTTACCACCACACATGGGGAGTCAGACAGAAGAAACTCCCAAACCAAGGGAACAGACAGAGGGAACAGTGTCCCAGGAAGAGGGAGCAGTGTCTCAGACACAGGAAAAAGTGTCCCAGTCAGAGAAAAAATTGTCCCAGACAGAGGAAACAGTGTCCTAGACAGAAGGAACAGAATCCCACAGAAAAGAAACTAGCGAACAGCATCTCAGACAGAAGGAACAGTATCTTGGAAGGAATCGTGTCCTAGACAGAGGAGCTGTACCTCAAACAGAAAAAATAACATCCCAGAGGGAACATATCCTATACAGAGGAAACAGTGTTCTAACAGAGGGAAGGGCACAAAGGCAAGTAAGATTGGACCAGACCATCTACAGAGCTAGTAGTGTGTTAGCAAGGGCCAAGTCCAGAGTGGGTGGAGGTGGGACCTAAACAGTGGAGCCAGGATGGATCTCACTGTGGTGGACAGACAGGGCCATGAAGGTGAATGACATTCCTTTCAGATCTGGGTTTCACCTCTGCCACTGTCAGTAATGCCCCAAGGTTGCACTTTGACTCCCAACCTCACCCTCTTTATGCTGGAGCCTCAGTTTCTTCAACTGTTGTTGGGGGCCATCAGAGCCCACCTGGGACAGATACAGAAGATACAGCAAGACAGGAACTCCCACTACTGTGGTTACTATCCTGGGGCTTAGGGCAGCAAAGCCCCACCTGTCCTCTGGTATCTCACTGAGCACTTCATGTCAGCTCTGACCTTAAAAAGACCAACTTCAATCCAGGCCTCTACCTGTGCAGTGTATATAGTCTTGTCCAGCTTCAGGAGCCACTGAACATGAGGAGGTGCTGGTCTTTGAGCATAGACAAATGTTAGCCTGGAGGAGCAGAACTAGGGCTTTGGGCCTCCTGCAACTGCACAACTGGGGACAAACCACTTCCTCCCTCTGCACCAGGCCCCACCCAGCCCTAGCAAGCTGTCAAGCACCAAGGTGTGGGTTTGGGGGATCTGGGGACAAGCTTGGGGCACAGTGTGTCTCAGTTTCCTTTCCTGCAAGAATGGCTGAGCTAGTGGGCCTTGGGTGCTATTGGGGACCATGCCCTGAGCACACCAGCCTTGGAGCTCTGTGCTCTGAGCAGGAGCCTGACACCACTTGGGCCCCACATCAGGAGAGCGAGACAGTCAGAGCAGTCAGAGCGGCAAGAGCAAGACAGTCAGAGCAGCTGCCCAAAGTCATGGAGCTGCAGCTGTGCACCTGGCGCTGCCCCACACTGTCTGGGTGCATCATGGGTCCTGAGGAGGTCCTGGTGGGACCTCCAGGAGGTCCTTGGCCCTCTTTCCCAGTAGCATTACCACAGACAAGCCCTGGCTGTCGGTATCAAAACTGCAGATTGCAGAGCAACCTTTTGGAGCCACATTGTGTGAAAAGACCTAGCCCCCTAGGGACTGTGTCTGGGACCATCCACCCCTCCTTGGCCCAGGTGAGGAAGACCCAAATAGCCCTGGGCCTGGCAACAGAAGAAGAGAAGCTGGGCATTTGGCCAGTGTGCTGGCCAGACTGAAGCAGGGATCCCCTCAACTGATCAGCCACTTGGACCCCGGCCCCTCCTGGGCTCAGGTTTAAGACTGAGATGCCCCAGATGACATCCAGCACTGTCCCAAACCTCTGCGTTTACAAAGGATTGCACAGTTGCCATTCCACAATAACCTGACTTTTAACAGCAGTATCAGAGGCACCACAGGAAGACCAAGGGACAAAAACAAGACACCATACAGTATCACCATGACAGCTTCCTGCCTTGAAGACAAGTCCCCAACAGTTCCTCCTCTGAATGTCCCCTGACCCAAAAGTGCCCCTTACAGGATGAATCCAGGCTCTCAGGGCTGCAGAGACCTGGGAGATAGCACCACTCACCTGCCCCTGAGGACACTCGAACTTCTCTCTGAGGCTGACTTTGGGCAACAGCAGAACATACTTCCTTTTGCTAGTTTTCGCAATATGGGTCACAAAATGATATGCATGTGCATTTCCGCATTGTCACACACCCAAGCTTGCTGGTGCTCCAGCTGAGTCATTTGTGAAAGCTCAGCCAAGACTGGTTGAAACCCAGGCTGTCTGAGACCTGGGCAGCAGCAGTCCACTGCAGCCTGCAGTAGCTTTAAGTTTAACAGGATGCTGTGGTGCCCCTGAGTGGTTCTGGGCTAGAGGAAGCAACCTCCACCGCAGTGGGCTTTTCTTAGCAAACCTGCACACACTCTCCATTAGAACTCTCAGAGAGGGGCATGTAGCAGACTTGAGAGGTGTGACTAGCCCCAGAACACAGGCGACAGCCCCCTGGGCTGAAATAAAGGTCCCAACCACCCTTTAACTCAGATGCTTTCATCTCAGGGCCTTCTTTGTCAGGAACAGTGAAAATGGCCACAGATGGTTAAAAAATTGAGAGACCCCACTGAAAATGGGTTATTTCAAGGTGTTCCCAGGGGTGAAGTCAGCCCTCCTCCCTAGAGAGACCTGCCCTGTGATGGCTGCTCCACCCATGGGGAGGGTTCTGTGTCTTTTAGGGAGAAAGTAAATATAGGAACAGGCAAAAGTGTGTTTACAGTTGTAATAGAAATAAATAATATAATAATTAATACATAATTATTTGAGTATACTGTGTTTTGCAGTATAGGTTCATAATTGTAAACCGACTTTTGCCAACCCCTTTACATGAAGACACAGAGGTCCAACAAGGCTTAGATCACAAATTCTGAACAAGTATAAATAATGGTTTCTTCATCCAACCCTGCGGGCTTTTTGAAAAACAAAGCCATTTCCCTGGGCATTGTTTTTCTTATTGTTATATGGGCTCATTGCAGCGTCCCCCTTGGGGATACCACCTCACACACAGGTAACTTGTGTGACAAATGAAATCTACAAGGGGCCACAGCTGATTCCTTCACCCCACACTGACCTCTCCTGGCATGTACCCTGAATGCACAGCCCTGTTTCTGCACAAGTTCCCAAGTGAGGCAGCTGGAGAGAAGACTTGTTCCCTCCCTCAGTTCCTCTAAATATTTACCAGTTGTTTGACAGAGGCAATAGGCTGAGAGATACTACCCACTTTCACCTCCAGATACACTTTCTTTCAACCCAAGATTTTAAAGATTCTACAAACAAGACTGATGAGCACACCATCACCTCCATAACAAATTGCCATGAGAGCCACCATGTGCTTGGCCCTGGGGGTTCTGCAGCCCCACATCATGCCTGGCTCCACACAGGTGCAACTCCTTCCAGGAGTCTACAGAACAAAGTGAGGACAAGTCTGGTTTTTCTGGCTACCACCATTGCTGAGGACTCAGAACCATCCCACCCAGCAGGTGACAGAGGATGGGTAGCCAGTCTCTCAGAGGCACTTGAGTTCACTTCCCAGCTCACAAGTTTTCAATTGTGCATATCACTGAGCCTCTTGGAGCCCCAGTTCTCATTTCGTTAAATAGCAAGAATACCAGATTCACAGTTGGAGTTTATGATGAACAATGGCCTGTCCTGCGGCAGGTAAACCATCCAAATGTTTCCAGCTCAGGTGGGGAAAAACAGCACCTGACACCATCCCCCAGCATAACCATTCCCCAACTGATGTCCGTGAGCCAGGAGACTGGTAACAGGACCCCATCAGGGCCTGGGGACCCAGGCCTGTGTCCCTGATAATCAGAAATTCTCTAAAAAGACAGAAGTGAATACTGGCAGCATGGCAGCTGGCCAGATGTAATGACCTGAAAGGTGATGGGTATTGGTGGGTGACTAACAGAAGAAGAAGTAGGGTAAGGGGCATGGCCAGAAAGCAGAATTGGAGTCTAAGAGTTCTATCATCCTGAAAGGTATTTCCACCAGGAAGGTGACACCCTCTAACAAGAAACATCCCTATGGCAGCTACTCCCAAGATGGCCCAGTGATGGTCACCTCATGGTGATCCTGAATCTGTGCAGCCATGTCCACCTTGCATAGGGTTGCCCTTATAACATAGCCAATAGGATACTGCAATAGGTGACTTCTAAAGCCAGGACATGTACCACATTGCAACTTCTGCTTTTCTCTCCTGAATCTCTTGCTCTGGAGAGCCAGCTGCCATGTCATGAAGAGAGCCCTATGTGGAAGGAGCCAGGGCCTCTAGTGGGTAACCAGCACTAGCTGTCCATGAAGGAATGAATCAAGTGGAAGTGGATCCTTAGCCCCAGTGAAGCCTTCAGATGAGACCACAAGTCCAGCCAACATTGGACCCCAGCCTCAAAAGAGACCCTGAGCCTAAGCCACTCTGCACCAAAATACCTGACCTACTCAAACTAACATAGTTGATAAGTGTTTGGGAATTGATATGCAGTGATAGATAGGTGATATAATATGGTTACCAGAAAAAAAAGAGGAAGGGGTGATCTAAGATTGGGCATCAGTCCACAATGGACAGATATCCACAAGGAATCAATGGCATATATTCCTATTTCTCTGTCCAATTATTTCACCAGTGACTCAATGGTCCAAACTGAGTCCTCAATCCTGAAGGATTTACTGCTGACCAATCTTAGATCACCCCTTCCTCTTCACCTGGTGACAGTGGTGAAGATTCATTTGTGCTGTTCACTCTGAATGGACCCAAATGCTACACACATCAGAGACTCTTCAGGAAAAGGCCTCATGACTCCCTCCCATCATCCTCCTGCCTGCCGAGGGTGGTGGAGTGGGGCTGCCTTCTCCTTCCCCAGGCAGCTTGCTGCATAGGAGGCAGCTCTGATGGGGATGTATTTCCCCAAGGATAGCCAGCAATGACTTGTGGACTGCCCATCTGCAAAAGGCAGAGGAAGCCTCAAATCCAGGTAGCCAAAAGTGTCTGTGTGGAACTAAATGCTGAAAAAATAGGTAAGCAGAGACCTTTGCACTAGGGGGAATGTCCATTTATTTCACTGAGGATGACCCAAAGGGAAAAGGCCCCAGACCAGGCAAGAAAAACTGGTCAGGGGAAGGCTGAACTTGGAAGAGCCCACATCCTGAGGGGAGACTCCTGCCCAGCTCAGACTCACAGAGATCATGGGGCCACCTCTAGGGAAAAAGACAAGCCAGCAAGGAACCAGAAAGGTCTGCATAAAGGGCCATAGACTGATGAAAGGGGCTGCATGTGTGGTGGAGTTCAGGGTGTACGGAGTCTCTCTGGGTAGTCCATTGTTTGTTTACCATTTACCATGGTCGTCCCTGGTTTACCATTCACTCTAAGAGCAGTTACAGCACCTGCCCTGTGGTCATCTTGACAACAGGTGTAGAGTACACTCCATGTATCACATTAGCCCTTCTGGTATTATTTGATCTAATCCTCATAAGAAATCCACCAATTTGGCATATTATCCCTATTCCAGATGAAGGACAGAAGCTCAGACAGATGAAGTTAACCTGTCCCAAACTGCGTAACTAGTGAGTAAAAGCGTTACGGCAGATCTGAGTCTAGGCTGAGTTCTGAAGGCCTCAGGCTACTCAGAGACTGGAGAAGAGAGACCTGCACACAGACTGTCCAGGTGCAAGAGTTCAGATGAGGAAGGGTATATGCACATGTGCGTGGGGCACAGAAGCAGACATGGTAGAGATGCCATTACAAATCGGGAAGGAAAGGATGGATCACTCAATAACTATGGAGAGGGATACAAACAAGATCACTGCCCCTCACCATTCATGAAAATAATTTCAGATGAATTAAAGACCAAATATGAGAAGCAAGAAAACCTGAAAACTTTTGGAACAAAGTATGTGGAAATGTCTTTATGACTTCAGGTTATAAAAATTTTAAAGCATAGACCATAAGTAAAAAGATTTGATATATTTGATGTGAAAATTTAGAATGTCTACATAGTAAGTAAGTAAATATATATATATATATATATATATATATATATATATATATATATATTTTAACTAAAGGGAGATGCTAGCAATGGTCTGAGAGGACTCCATCCAGGGGCCCAGTCATAGCTAGAACACAAGAGATGGTGCTAGATTTATAAATTCTCAGGATCATGAAGCAGCCTGGCATTTAAAGAGCTCTATGTAGCTGATCTTGGACAGGACATGATGGAGGGATTTAAGAAAAGTGATCCTGAAAGAGGCCAGGGGCTAAGTTCTAAGGACTTCTGGGCACATGTTACCTAGTCTGTGTGTCTTTAGGTAATTTTGGCTTTTCAAGTAGGATATGTTGTATAAGGCACACAGATCCCAAAAGTTTAAAGATTCTAAAGGCTGGTATGCCAGCCTCTCTTACCCTCTTTGGGAGTCCTGATTTGAGCCCCCTGCTATCATGCCAACTGGAGGCTTTGTGCAGTAGAGATAAGAAAACCCAAGTCATTTCTACCCTAGCCAACATCTGCCATCCCTGCCAGTTACATACCTGAGCTTGCAGTCACAGACTTACCTGAAAACAAAACTTTCCCATTGAAACACTGTTTGGCTAAGTGACCAGAGTTAGCAAATAAAAACACAGTATGCCCTATTATTCAAATTTTTGATAAATGAGGAATAATTTTTAAAATAAAATTATATTCCATGCAATATTTGGGACATTCTTATGTTTTCAAAAAAGGATTAATTATTCATCTGAAATTCTAATTTAACTGGGCATCCTGTATTTTATTGCTAATAATGCAGAATTACCCAGCCTATATGAGCCCAATAGACAGTTTATGGCAGCCACACCCAATCAGATGCACCCCCCCCCATTTTAGGTGACTATCCATCCCTTTGACACCAATGCCTTTCCCAGCCCTTCCCCACCCCACCCCCTGACCAGTTTGTGGCCACTCTAAGCCATGCTGTTAGCTCTGGACTCCTCTCTAGGTACAAACTTTAACTTCTCTGCAACATTAGCTAAAATCAGAGCAATGGACCCAGTGAACACAGCGGCACTGACCAGGTTCTGAAAAAAATCTCTCAAGTCCATTCGATGCTCTTATAACTCTGGCCATTTGAGAGAGGTGTTAACTTCAAAAAGCATCACCATTTTGATATCCTTTTGGGAAATGCTGCTGCACTCTTACAGGCATGACTCACTGGATTCCTCACAGGCAGTGGAGTGAAGAATGGTGTGTATTGACAGGCCACCTTGCAAAGCAT